TGATTTTATTTTTTCATATTCATTCTTTGGGACCTATTCTGCACCAATTCACCAAGTCTTGTGACCTGATGTTTGTGCTTTGAAGCTGTAGAACCCAAAACAAGTAGCCAAAAATAACGGTCCACCCACTGTACTTCATTGGCCGCAAGGAAGACCTTCTGGTTGACAAGATACATGTACCTTGTTGGCCAGAAGGGCCAGAAGGAAAACCTTCTGGTCAACAAGATACATGTAACTTTGTCAAACGAAAGGAAGACCTTGTGGTTGACAAGGTTGTGCCTCCTCAGCCTTGAGATGGTACAGTCTCCAGGCCGAGAGGAACCCCTCTCGGCCTTGATAGAGATTGTTCCCCGGTACCCTTTGCTAGGTACCTAGTACCGCTTGGGGGGTACCCTTCACACCCGCCCCGCACCCGTCGGGAGGTGCCAGGTGCGGTACTTGGTACCTATTTTTGTGAAAAATTGAACAGGTACCTAGGTACCGCTACAGGTACCCCCTCACTTCCCTACCAAAATGACGGTGGCCTTCTACTCCAAGAGCTCCAAGAAGGTACCTTGGCTACATGGAAACAGGGACTCAAGGATAACAAGAAGTCTAACCAAAAATTAAAAAGGAAGGTGATAGTTTTGGACAACGATGAAGATTCTTCTAATAATCTAATTAGATATAATTTGTAGACAGTTTAAGCTTTAAAATAAATTATTGAATGTGAACAAATGAAAAAATTGACTTGGGATTGATGTTTTACAATAAATATGAAAAAAGGCAAGATTCTTCCCATTAGATGTATATACTTGACAACAAATATGAAAAAAATGCCGAAAAAGTGACTTGAGTAATATTTTACAATAAATATGAAAATAATAATAATAATGAAGTAAGGTTCTTCCAATTAGTTGAAGATGTCTTACAACAAATATGACAAAAGGAAAAACAGTGACTTGGGAATGATATTTTCAATAAATATGAAAATATAATAACACAGTAGGATTCTTCCAATTTGTTGTCAACATTTCACAATAAATATGAAAGAATGGAAAAAAAGTGACTTGGGACTGATATTTTACAATAAATATGAAAAAATAATAATAAAAAAGTGACTTGGTAATCTGAAAGTGAACCTAGGTTAGAAAGAGAGGGGAGGTACCCGCGGTACCCGCCAAAAGTACCGCCGGTACCCGCCGGGAGGTGCCTGGTGCGGTACTTGGTACCTATTTTTTGAAAAAATTCAACAGGTACCCGAGTACAAACGAACGATCTCTAGGCCTTGAGATGGTACAGTCTCCTGGCCGAGAGGAAACCCTCTTGGCCTGGAGATGGTACAGTCTCCAGGCCAAGAGGAAACCCTCTCAGCCTTGAGACTGTACAAGGTCCCAAGGCTGAGAGGGTCCATCTGATGGGTATCCCTGGGGATACCCAGATACCTGCCAAGATTATGAGGAAAATCAGGCATCCGCAACCAAATTCAAATCCTCTGGCGGGTATCCTTTGGCAATTGTGGGTATCCACCAGCAGATAGGGGGTATGCTCAATGGAGACCCTGAGGCCATCTGTAAACTCAAGTAAGGGCCCATCATTTTGGATTAGAGATGTCAGAAGGTACCCGTTTGCAGGTACCCTGTACCTGGTACCCGTTTGCAGGTACCCATTACCCATTTGCAGGTACCCGGTACCCATTTGCAGGTGCCTGGTACCCGTTTGCAGGTACCTGGTACCCGTTTGCATGTACCTGGTACCGGTTTGCAGGTACCCGCTTTGGAAAACAGGTGTGGGTGCGGGTGCGGGTGTTGACTTTTGAGGAAAAAAGGGCAGGTACCTGCCCTGGGAATGCTTCCCATGAGAATTTAAATTGTCATCAGTGGTCCAACACTCCCTTTTTTTGGGTGTGTTGGGCTGCAGAAAGGTGTCAGCAACCCATGTAGGACACCATTTGGTGTCCTACATGGGCCTGTTGAGGCCAGAGGGAACCCTCCGGCCTTTGAGACAATAGATCAGAGAGAAGATAAAGTGCAAATTATTGATAGAATAATTTGTTTTTCTTTATTTCTTTATTTCTATGTTACTCTTACCCATATATCTAGCGAATATCAATCATATATTTAGTAATTCATGCAGAAATTCAAGGGTGAGATTTCTGGGTATATTTGCCTGCAAAAAATCCTCCTCACCCGCAGGTACCTGGCCCAGGTACCCGGGTACCCGCCCTGGCGGCCCTGGCAGGTGCGGGTGTCCAAAATATTGGATTTTTGAGGCAGGTACCCGCACCCACTACAGGTACCCGGGTATGAAGCGACATCTCTATTTTGGAGGGCCAGTGGCTGGGCCTATATGTCTGTGCTGTGCAGGCCCCTCTTAGGGAGAGCTTCCTGCAAGCATGGCAGGTTCCTTCATACCCAGTTGCTGATCCAGGGACCAATATCCCTCACAAAAGAGTAGTGAATTGGAGAAATGGCTCCCAATAATTGGAAAAACAACTTCTAAGACTGTTGAAAACAACAGACAGTCCTTGTAAGTTATTTTCACAACTTTTCCTGCCAGTTTGGGAGTTTTAGTCCCAATTCTGGTTTTAATTTTTTATTTCTTGGAGGCAGTTGGCACTCCAACCCCTCCTCAGAAAGTGGGAGATTTGCGAGTCACCTCCCTACTGGCCATACCCCAGTGACCTGGAGGAATTCCTTCTGGCCATTGTCCCCATACATCCACAATGAAAACAAGATATTCCTTCTGGTCCTCAAGACCATACAGTATTGACACCTGGCCAATGACTTGAAGGAATCCTTCCTAGATTTCAAGATTGTATGGTCTTGATGAACAGATAGAAATCCTCCCAATTTATGGGTTATGAATAACAGAGAGGCAACTCCCAAACTTCTCACTTGCCAAGGAGGGTTTGGGTTACCAACTCCCCCCCCCCCCCAGAAAAAAAACCTTCAAATTTCAAAAAAGAATTGGGACCAAAACTCCCAAACTGGCAGGGGAATTGTAAAAACAACTTCCAATGACCATCTTTTAATGGTCCTATAAGTTGTTTTTAAAATGTTCAGGAGTTGTTCTTCCAATCCCTGAAAAGTAACCACCAGAAACAACTTCAGCCAACAACCTGTCAATTTGATGAAAAAAAAATTTGAATATATTCAAACGTGTTTAATTTGCTCTTTTACTCTTGCCCACTGCATGAAACATTTCTATAGATGGCACTTTTGCACCTGTTTGTAGGTACCTACCACACTTCATGAAAGCACACCCTCCGCAACACCAGTGACCAGCCATGCATATATACGGAGGGTCCAGTACTCAACCTTTGTCATTACTGCACCCTCTGCCTGAACTACTGAAGGCTGGTGGTTGGTGGGAATGTTCTGAAGTGTGGTGGGTACCTGCGAAAAGGCATAAAAGTGCCATCTCTAAACTTTTCATTGAAATATTTTGTTTTCAAATTGCCACAATAAACAATATTTTAAATCAGATTCACTGTTGTATACTGAATTGTAGACTTCAAGGGCCCAGAACAGACCCCAGCATGGCCTTTTTCTGTGTCTGATTTGGATTCCAAACTGGTGTTGAGGGCAAAAAGTGTCCCCAGCTGACCCTCCAAATTGTGGGATTTAACACAAACAATAAAGGTTGGCAAATTTCATAGGCCCCGTTTGGCGGCCCCATTCTTTGTGATTTGTTATAGGGGGTTTTCCCCTAGAGGCCAATTGGACATCAAAAATTTGGTGCAAAAATCAGGTTTCAGGGGGCCAATTTGAATCATGGGGTCGCCCAAATCACAAATAATGGGGCAGCCAAACGGGGCCTTAATGATACCACCTAGTAAAAAGATAGATGGGCAGGCAGATGTGTTTAAATCTGAATGAAACTATTTTCAATGCTGTATATCTCTTCAACCGAGCTTGAAGCAACATTTGAGCTTTTTGTTTATAAAATCATGCAAGAAGGTGAATTTTATAAGTCTAAAGACTGGACATGGAAATGATTGAAAATTTGATGAATAAGCAGGAAACATCTACTGGTTTACAATCCATTTTGAGAGAAAATATGTGGAATATACTTCACAATTGATGGTTGAAATTTGGCAACAAAGATGTTCAATAATCTGTTTAAACTCTTCAAGATACCTCAGGTGTTCAAGGAGGAAGATCCCAGCAAGATCCTGAGGATGTATTCCAGATTATGGAACTTTGGAGTATGTACTATCCACAAAGAATTTATATGTTGAGAAAATAGAAACATTCAATTTGATGTCCATAAGCAGTGAGTTTCTTTCCAAGTCAGAAATGATGAAAATTGATTTAGAAAAAACTTTGAACTATTGAATCCAAAAAACAAATTGTAACAATTAGAAAAAAAAGGGACATATATCAAATTGGACAATTGAAGCTCTTCAAACCTTGGCAAAGTATACAAAAATTGATGATGAGGAAAGCCAAGAAACACAGGAATCCAAGTTGACCAAAAAACCAGCTACATAAACTTCAAGTATTTAACAGATTGATAATTTCTCCCAAACAATCATATTCTGTACACACATAGAATACATGTTGAAGAGGGATTGCCTGCTTATATTGGTAAGTCTGCCAGCAAAAATAAACATCTATTGGTGCTCTGGTTGGGTACTTGCTCCAATTTGTTTGGAATCCACTAAATTCTTGGTGTTCTGAATTGACTTGTGTCAAAATCACATAGGAACAGCTGACAGATCCCTGGGATCAAAGAATAAAATTATAGTGCCCTGAACTAGCAAAGCAAATATGATTCTACAGCTCAGATGGGCATCTGTTCACATAATGTTCATAACTTGATACTTGAAATAGTTCTGATGACTTGATACTTGAGATAAATATGAAAGCTGTCATCATAAGTCTAAAGGTTGGATAGAAGGTTCCTCAGATCTTTGTGGGGTGTTTGCTCTTTTAGTTTATCCAAGCTTTCACACTGCTTGTCAGAGTCTTTCATGTTGATTCCAAGGCTATTTGGAAAAAGCGGATCTGTGAATGCTCGTCTCTGCTCTCAACTGATTGCCACTAGCTACGCTCATTTTACTTGCTGACATGAGTTGTAAAGAGGAGGATGGAATCTCTATCCAAGGGCCATAAACTGGTTCCGCAACAAGGAAAAAAAAAGTATGCTCTAGTAGATTCTATGCTTCAAGCTAAAGTTGACATCTTGTAAGGTTGATTGCTCCTTGGCATCGATACATTCATGACTGAGTTTTTCTTTTCCCTTCTGAAAGTTTAGATCATTGAAGTGACGTATGCGTAAAAGCCGATGAGATTTTTGAGTTTGATTGTTTTTTAAGATTTTGAGAGAGACTTGAGGACTCCTTTAGATTCCAATAACCGGGCCAGTTCTCCCGTCCGATGCATCTCCATCATCATATCGCACCCACCCATAAATTCGCCGTCGATATATACCTGCGGGATTGTAGGCCATTCACTGTTCCATCCGCCAAAAAAAAAAAAAAAAAAAGAGAGAGAATGGTGAGTAAGGAACGCAGTCAAACTGGTAGCCCGTCTCCAAGATAGCCATTCGACTGAAAGGACTAACCTGAACTCCTTGATTGATTGTCGAAGTTCATTATCTTCGAGACAGTTATAAGTTTTGATCTTATCTGAGGGAACGTCGTGTAGCTCAAGCAACTGGACGACGGCTCTGGAGAATCCACACTGGGGCATTTTGGGAGTCCCTTTCATGAACAAGACGAGTGGATGGGCCTTCACGGCGGCCTGGATCGAGGACCGAGCCTGGTCCGACAAGGCTCTCTGAGAACTCCTCGAAATCGGCTGACTGAGGCTTGCCGTTGTTGATGGTCGTGCTGACTGATCGGTCGACCGGGAGAAAAAAAAGTTTCATGTTAATGGCTTGATCTGCCGCTCGGATCTACTGTTTGAGGGATCGACTTACTTGGCAAGACCTGAGAACGGCCGTTCGGAACAAGGAAAGCGACATGGTAGGGTGGATTCAGGGTTTGCCTGGAAGCTATCTGGGAGTTGGCCCGCTGGCGTATGTATCGAATCGGATTCGTTGGTGGTTGTTCTTCCTCAACTTTTGTCTCACGTGGGTTGTTTGAGTGCCGGAGTTCTTACGTAATCAGCCACCTGAAGTCAAATTACATAAGCCTCAAGCCCCCAACCGCGCAAAATCTGTGACAGAGCTGTGATTGGTTTAAGATCAACTACACAGATTTTTCAAGCCGGTACAATGTAAATTCATTGGATGAAAAATTTGAGTGAGTAGATGGTTGGAATTGGAAGGGCTATCAGGAGGGGAGTTGGAGTTTGGATGAATCCAGATCAACTCAACTCCCAAATTGTGTTTCAATGTCTTGGAATGTGTGAATAGTTTGCTGAGTTTTGTGGATGAGATCACGTAAATTTCTGCTAAGCTTCACTTCAAGATTTGGGGTGAATGTTAGTGATAGAGAGCTTCCTAGAATTTACCAGTACACAGATGTCAAGTTTATTTATTTATTTAAGATCACATATTTATGAGATGTGTATGTAGCAAAGATACCCAAACATGGGGTTGCAATGAAGTTCAAAAAGTCTTTGTGGATATAATTCCAAGGCTCAAATGACATCACACAATGCGAAAAAATCAGTCCCCTATAACAAGATCAATGACATGAAAGAATGTGGTTATTTAAAGAAATGGCCAGGATCAATGTTTGGAGCACATATCTTGATTTACAGCTTCTCTGTATATGTATACTATCTCTCATGTTCAACTAGACCAGAACAAATGACACAAGTGGTTCATGTCTTGTCTTGAAAGAAAGGACAAGTTATGCATGCATCCATAAGGTCACATGTGGCCAAGACCAAATGAGGTGAATATTTGTGGTTCATGGCTGTGGCCGGTGGGGAGAGATCCAATGGACTGAGGAAGAAAGAGAGACCTCAAATATGTGTAACTGAATACATTGCAAGTCGAAATGGGATGTTGTGTGTGATCTCATAAGAAGATCATGGTTTATGTATGTACCACCACTGGTCCACAAATGTTGTGTGTGCGCTCAGAAGAGTGTGATCAGTTTAGGTGGGAGTGGTGCGACGAGGTGGTTGAGTGTGACGAGTGATCGGACAGCTGGTTCTTCCGACACAGAGCTTCTTCGCTGGGCAACTTCCTTCGGATCGAGGTCAACAACGACCACCAAGACTGACGACGACTACAGATTCTTAGCCAGCGGAATTAACTCCGACCCAACAACAATCGACTCATTCACAAAAACTTCCTCCAACACTGGAATCTTTACAAAATAGAAACACAATTTAGGATAGCAAGAGAAGACAACAAGCCCACTAAAAAAATAACGAAAGCATCTTGACTCGGATCACCCTCAGGGAGCATATAAAATTCATTGGCGATGACGGTGGATGAAGAGGAAGCGATCCCACTGGTGCTTGCCGGCCGACCCAGGAAGGCCTCGACCAGCTCGACATCCTCCTCCCTATCGATCTTATTGGAAGACGAGGAGCAAGAGGTGATCGGCACATCCTCGCAGACCGAGACGATCCCCTTACGCCATCGCTCGCGCTCCCCGCCGCCGAATCCGATCGTCGCTAATGTGGTCAGCTTGGAGGACGACAGTAAGGCCACAACGCTCTCCTTTAGGGTCTTCTTGCTCGGTTCCTTCCTCGGCTGCACCGGCGCCGCCATCGGCCAAATCTTCTTCTTCAAATCTAACGGCATCGGATTCAATATCTTCCTCATCATCCTCGTCAGTTATCCCAGTTGAGTCTCCCTCCCTCCCCCCTCTTTTTTCTTTTCTTTTTTTTTTTTTTTCAAAACAAAAAAAGCACCCACAAAATTTTGGATCCTTCGTTTCGAGACTTACATATTCTATGACTTTTGTTTTGATTTTCCGTCTTGGTGATGTGTACAAGTGGGCAAGGCGCTAGAACGGCTGCTTCCAAATGCGACGATCTCGCTCACCAGACGCTGGTCATTCCGTCTAAACCCCGGTCCGTTTACGTTAAAGGAGCATCTGCTGATCGGCGTTCTGGCTTCAGGGGCCTCTGGAAGCTCGTATGCGGGTGACATTGTGGCCGTTCAAGACCTTTACTACCATGTCAGTACACATATCATTTCGCCATTAAAAAATTCTGACCATCTTACCTTCTTTTTCTCTATGTCTCTGCATTGTAAAATAGCGTGATATTGGACATGTCGGAGGTTTGCTGCTGGTACTAAGTACACAGTTGATCGGATTCGGACTGGCCGGGATGACCTATAGCTTACTGGTCCGACCCACAAATATGGTCTGGCCCTCCTCCCTGGTGGTGATGACGATGTACAACACCTTGCACTCGAGGTCCAGCGGGATGACTTCCTTCAGACCACCGGCCGAAGATCGTCTATTGATGGCGAAGAAATTCAGATTCTTTTCGATCGTCTTCGTCCTCATCACAATCTATCAGGTCTTCTCCTTTACATCCAAGAAACTTATTTCTCGCGCTGGCTATTGATCTTTTCTTCTCCCCGCTGCCGATGTTTATGTAGTTCATTCCGACTGTTTTTGCCCCTACTCTGAGCAGTATAGCAGTGCTCTGTCTGATCAACAACCGAAGCACGTTCATGCGAGTCCTGGGATCGGCCTGTCAGTCACTCTCACTCTCTGCTTCTCTTTTGTCCCAAATTTCTTTTTCCCCTCATTTTCAATATGCACCAAAAGCAACTGGTATCCGAGAACCACATTTTCCCTTCTTTCGCTAGCCTACTCTTCTATTCCATTCCTACAGAAGAGTTCATCCTGTCAATTTACTTATCGCTACTTTCGATGAGCTATTCAGACACCGGAGTCGTAAGTCACTTCTCATTTATTTTCTTGCCATGATCTGCTCAGATTATCCTTGTCCTGTTTGATTTGCCTCTGTTCTCTCCCCGTCGAGAAAACAAGAAAACTGATGACCGGCAGATCCATTGACATTACAGGGCATGTTTTCGTTGAGTTTTGATTGGGCTGTGATCACCTCGATCTCGCTGCAAACGCCGTTCTACTCATCATGCAACTATTTTGCGGGCTTGGTATTCTCGATGTGGATCTTAGTACCGATCCTATGGTACTACGATTTTTGGAATGTGAGCATGACCAACAACAACAGACTAGCGCGCTTGATCGAATTAACTCGAGCTCAAATTGAGAACATCTTGCTGGATCTCAGTACCAAAGCTTTGGCGACAACGCGGTTTCCTCGCGACTCTTTAACTCCAAGTATGAGAAGTATGATGTTGGGGCGGTGGTGAAGCCAGACCTAACACTAGACATAGAGAAGTGAGTTTTCTTTTCTTTTTTTTTTCCTTTTTACATGACGATCCCATATGGTCTCTTTTGAACAGCTCTCGGCTACCTCGACCAATTAATCCCCTCTCACACCTTGTTTCATACGTAGATATAATCAGATGGGACCCATCCAACTTACGCCTTATTTTGCGTTGTACTATGGGATCGGATTTGCAGTCTTGACTTCGGCGATCACCACCGTCATCCTCTTCCATTCCGACGACATTCGGATGGCTATGAATGCTCGTACTAAAGCTTCCACCGTCCGTTTTCTTCTATTCTCCCTCTCTTTTCATCCCCATCAAACTTATCTCTGGAAACCTTTGAGTTGTTAGGATGCTCATGTGGAAATGATGGAGAAAAGTTATGCTAAAGTGCCTGCGTCGTGGTACATCATGATCGGCAGCAGTATGACCATAGCACCAATCAATGTCGTCGTCGCCTATCCTCTCCAGGTATACCTCAACCTTCTAGAGATCCAATACTTGAATAACAGATTTGCTAGAGATTTTTTTTTCTCTCTCTCTCTTTGGATGTAGATACCAGTATGGGGACAGGCTGTTGATTTAGCATTGGTATTACTTCTCAACACTCTATAATCCATCAAAAAAAGCACAAAGTCTAACCCCCCCCCCTCCGTCTTTATTTTTTTTCTCTCAAGGCATTGTGTTTTACGATCCCCCTGGGTATAAGTGAGTACAATTCTTTGTGTAGAGGTTTAACTATGGGAGAGAACAATACCCTCATGTCAATGATTTGTTAGTTAAAGCGACCTCGAATACTGCCATAGGGCTACATGCAATCAGTACGCTTATTACTTTCCATTTCCACATTCCTTTCTTTTTTCTTCTCTCGATCGGGGTTGACTCATCTTTATATTTTTCTTCGGTGTATAGCCGAACTCACCGCTGGACTTTTATTTCCGTCAGTACTCTAATTCCCCCCCCCCCATAAAAAGGAGGCTTTACTGTATAAACAGAGAGTTTTTTTGAGGGGGTTCTTATTTGTTGGTCTTGGGTTCGATGGTTTTTGTCAGTGGGAAACCGTTGGCTAACGTCGTCTTCAAAGTGTCAGTCCCTTTCTCTTTCTCTCTCTCTCTTTTTTGTCGTCACTTAAATTGACATCAAAAAAATAACCGTGATGTCAATTTTACAGGTACGGGTATATGACTATGCATCAATGTCTGGATTTAGCAGCCGACCTGAAGCTGGGAATATACGCTAGTGAGCAAGCATGAAGCTGATGATGATGTAGTTAAACAACAAGCACAAACACTACTAATGTATAATTTTTGGACAGAAATCCCACCGAAGGATATGTTTATTAGTCAGTGAGTATTGTGCAGACAATAGACACATGATTAATACATACAACCGAAGAATCCAAAGAGCGAGAGAAAGAGAACGAGGGTGAGATAATGTTGGTTTTGATATGATGATGTAGGGTCTTGGGTACCGCGATCGGAGGGGTCGTCAATTACATCTTCATCCGACTAGTGATTGCTGATAAACGGGAATATCTGGACGGGACGATCGCGGATCCGACCGGTCAATGGACCGGCCGAAAACCTGAACTATTTTACTCTGGTAGCGTCGTCTGTATGTTTTTTTTTCTTCTTCTTTTCTTTGAATCGAAGAGAGAGATCAATTCTTTGACGACTCATGACTTTTTTTTTCGTTTTACATCTCCCTTTTTTTCGGGGGCCTTGGGCTTTTTGGGTGGTTTTCTGGGGTGGGTTCTTAGGGGGTCTTATTGGCCCATTCAGATTCTTCTCTGGTCAGCCATCTATTTCCTCTGTATTGATCTCAAAAGATCATCTACGATCCAAACTCTTCAACCAACCACTGAAATCTTTCTCTCTCTCTGTTGTTTTTTTTTCTGTTGGGCTTTTCTCAGGGAAATATAAGTATCTTTATTTAGGTATTCCGTTGGGCGCAGTCTTGCCATTCATCCCATGGTATTTGTCGAAACGATATCCGAAATGGTCGTGGGAATTTTTCAGCGTTCCTCGTTCGTCTATCTCTCTCTCTCTTTTGTTTTGGCTTCTTTCTTTCTCTTTATTCATTTGCATTTTTTTTTGTTTGTTTGTTTGGGCGGGTGGATGTGGTTAGTTTTTTTGCATGGATCGATCCAGCCTCCTCGACAGCCTAATAACATGTCAGTCAACTTGTCAGACTCGATAGGGCCCGGCTGATCGGTCCCATCCCGTGTGAACCTTCCGATATCGGAAGGTTTCACACATCCTCAAGCACACTACAACTCCGACCGTACGGCTTTCACCGACTTTTAAGGCCGATACACCCGCTAGCGGTGGAAAAAAAAAACCGGCTCGGTCGCTATCCATTTTTTTCGGTCCCTATTGGAGGCATATAGGGCCCCGCAAATTGGGCCCGCGGTGGAGATGCTCTGAGGATATATATGTTGAACTGAGAATGAATGACTGAATGATTTGGATTGGATTGGATTGGATAGTTTAATTATATCTTGTCGAGTGCGTTGGATGCTGGGACTAGTATTAATGCATTGATCGTCTATGCGTTGTCGTTGAAAGGATTCGATTGGTGGTGGAACTCTTCTATTGATTCAGTCAGTTATTTTTTTGATTGAAATATGTAGGCTTGATGATTGCTTATATCTTGTCTTGTTTTTTTTGTAGGAACATTGTAAACCTGGGTCGTGATTCTCTGTTGATGTTTTGATGTTGTTGTTTGTCTTGTTGTCTAAACTGTTGTCTCTTTGCGCATCCGCTCTCTGCAAGCATTCTTCGTTTCTCTTGTTTTTGTCTTGTTGCAGCAGTCTCGATCGTGATACGCTCGTTCTTTTTTTTTTTTTTGATCACATAGAGGCTATCTTTTTCTCACCCTTGAGTGGCTTCTGTCTTGTTCGTATGTGGTTAGAGTGATGTTTGTGTTGCATTTCGGAATCGTTCAATAGATAGTTTGGTTTTTTTTTTATTAGTGTCTCATGGGGGATCAGACTGCTGCTGCTGGAGTGTTTCAGCCTGGGATCAGTGTCCATCCAGCCTTCTTCCCCCGGCAGTTTCCCTCTCCTTGGATGTGATAGTCAATTGTTTTTGTCACCCTCAACCGACTGAAGAAGAAGATGACCACCTCCATCAACTCAACAAACTCATCCAACTCAGCCTGGTGGAGATTCTGGAGGGACAGATCCTCATCATCCTCATCATCATCATCCTCCTCCTCTTCTTCCTCCTCATCTTCATCTTCCTCTTCTCTTCATTTCCAACCACCCCAGCCAGCCGAATTCACACTAATCACTCCAAGCCTATCTCACCAATACCATCATCATCATCAGCAAACCTCAAACGAACTCACAACTCATGACGAACAAACACCACCACCCTACGACTCATTCACCTCATCCGATATCACTCCCACCCTCCAACGACTACTCGCATTCTGGAACCATACCACCCAACAGGACTCACTCAATGCTGACCTAGGACTACTCAACAACAACAACCAACAACAACAACAACAACAACCAACAGCAACACCACCACCACCACCACCATCAACAACAACAACAACAACAAAAACAACACATGAGAACCCACCCGAGAAAGACCTGGCTGAAACCAAAGATGAACCGGAAGAAGAAGAAGAAGAACAAGAACAAGAAGAACAAGAAACAAAAATCAAAAAGAAAGAACAACAAACACCTATCAGACCATCCTTCAGACTACCCAAACTACGCAAACAACCACTCAATCCGATGCACAAACTACTCTTCAAACACGACGGAAGACTATTCCTAATCGACAAGACTCACTCCAACCCATCCTCATCCACAACTCACTCACTACCCACCCTACTCAACAACTCATCACACCCTTCATCCAACAAGAATAACACATCATCATCATCACCATCTTCCTCTCCTCCAAGCCCACGACCACCAGCCCCACCACCACCACCACCATCACTACCACCAGGACCAGGACCAGGACCAGACTCAATCCCTAACCCACAGCCCTCCGCTTGGTGGCTCGATATCACCTGTCCGACTAGCTCAGACATGCACCAACTCCGCAAGATCTTTCCCCTCCATCCTCTCACCATCGAAGACATCCTCCACCAGGATACGCGCGAGAAGACCGAGACCTTTCATAGCCTGGGATACTATCTGATCTGTTTCAGAGGCCTAGACGAGTCGAGCTTCAAATACGAAGATGATGATGATGACGAAGATAGTGATGAAGACGAAGAATTAGAGATCCAGCAGCAAGCGATGATGATGGAGCGAGAGGAGAAGGGACGGGCTGCTAATGGAGCCGAAGCGAATCCGGCCACTAGCGGCAAGAGCACCAGTCTGAAGAGTCGGACACTCAACAGCTCCAGGGACGGGATCCTACTTTCGTCGATGATCCGCCGACGCAGGAACCCTCAAGCCGGGCCTGCCCGTAATCGTCGACGCAGGAAAGCTAAGAAGATCCTCGAGCTCTGCGAGAAAATCGAGCCCCTTCATCCGAATCTCAATCTTCCCCACAATAACACAACCACCGTCTCCCCAAACATTCCCCAGCTTCCCATCAATTCTCCTCATCTGCCTCCCACCCCCGATATCAATCATCATCATCATCATCATAATAATAATAAGGTAGGCACCTTGGACGGCGTAGGCGTGGGCGCTGTCAATTTGTATCTCGTCGTCTTTAGGGACGGCATCATCTCCGTTCGTCTCTATCTCTCATATCTGTTTTCCTTTTTTTTTGCACTCATTTTTGATGTGTTTGTTTTTGGGGGGGATGTGTAGTTTCATTTCGAAAACTTGCAGAAACATATCGATCGTGTCAAAGAAAGGATTCATAGCTTTAGCTCAAATACCGGACATATATCTCCGCGTAAGTTCTAATGACTGTACTTTTGTTATTGTGGGTGTGTATGGATAAAGAAAAAAAGCTGAGATGAGGCATTTATGAGGATCGATGTAGATTGGATAGCGTATGGATTAATGGATTCGATAGTGGATGAGTTTTTCCCGGTGTTAGAGTTAATCTCGAGCGAGACGGAGAAGATTGAGGAGTATTTACTCGAGGAGCCATTAAGAAGTGTTCGAACGGAGGGCAGGGGTGACGGACGGATGAGTTCGGGGAAGCGGAAGGAGCACCGAGGGAAGAAAGTTCAGAATGGGAGTATGATGGGTGGACATGATCAGGGGGGGATGGGGGAGCGGTTGAAGACGGACTCGATGATCGACCGGTCGCGGATGCTGAATCGGATCACCCTCAATCGGCGCTTGGTCGTCTCCCTGGCCCGACTGATTGCCCAGAAACATCAGACCGTCGAGGCCCTGCGCAAGCGGATGAGCGTCGACGAACTTTCGGCTCGGCCTGGGGCACCCGCACGCTCCGGCGAACTCGACGGCCGCTCCATGGATATCGGCCTCTATCTCGGCGACCTTCAAGGTCCGTTCTCTTTTTTTTTTTTTACACATACCTCCCACAAAGGAAAGAAGAAAGAAAAAAAAAAGTATTGACTGGGAAGAGGAGGTGTTTTTTTGATTCTTGGCGGGGGATCGATAGATCACATCGTCGGGCTCAGTCAAGCGCTCTCGTTCTACGACACCTTACTCTCGAATGCCCATTCGACGTATCTCGGGATCTTGAGGGTCGGATTACATTCGGCCAAACAAGCCCAAGACGTGATGATCATCCGGCTCTATCTGATCACCTTGATCGTCCTGCCCATGAACACCCTCATCGGCCTGCATTCCATGAACATCCATATCCCCGCTAACGGCGACATGGTCTCTCATAAGTTAAGCGACGGCTCTCAGGCCCCCTTCATCGTCTTCGCTATCATCATCGCTGGATGTGTCGTCATCGGCGCTCTCTTCATCCTCTTTATTTGGAACGTCATCTTCTCGCAATCCGCCGTCTCCTTCAATCGCTCGTTCCCTAAACTGTTCTATTTCTTATAACTGCCCTCTCCTTTCTTTACACATCCTATCTACACTCCCTCCTTCCCACTATGCCTCTTCTTTGACTTCCCCACTTGTTCCACTTCGTCTTGTTGTTGTTGTTGGTTTTTTTGCATATCCTCGTTTTTTTGTTTTGTTTTTGGGTCTCACTCTTTTTTTTTCGGGTTGGGTTCGTATTTATATTTCGTCTCTCTCTTCATTATTTATATATACACGACCATGCAGATTTATTAAGTTATCATATATATATATATATATTTATATTTATATTTATTTATATAACCGGATCATTTCCTCAGTTTTTTTTTTTTTTCGTATAGCTCATCCAGATACATACATGAATACGTAGATTGAGAGATTCACGAGGGTCCAAGTCATCCATTCCAACCACACGTGCTCCTTCTCCCAGCCAGTGTATCTCTCCTTCCCCTCGCTCCCCTTTTTCTTCTTTCTTCTTTCCTGGGTCATTATCATCTTCCTCTTCGAACCTCTGGAAGTTGTCTCCTTTTTTTTGTATATGTGTGTGTGTGGGTTGTGGGGTGTGTTTTTTTGGTGATCACGATCGGGATGATGGATGTCGTTACTTTTTTTGGGGGTGTTGTTGGTTTTTTTGGTTTTCTTTTTTCTTTTTTAGGATGGGTGGGTCACGGGTGGGTGATGGAATGGATCAATGGAAATCAGCCGATCAGATATTTACAATGTATCACTTATTAAGCACAAAAAAAGCCTTTGTTAAAGGAGGCGAAGGGCGGAAGGAGAGAAGACGGATTTCAAGCCCCTCTTCTGGTCACGGTGGTAGGTCAAGCGCGGGTCGCCCGACTGCCACTGGGGGGGGGGGCTTTCTTGATCGGCCGGCGATCTTCTGCAAGCGCCACCTTCTGAGTAAGAACAATCCTCACCCATTCCGCTTTCCCAGAATGCTTATTTTTTTGGACAGTATCCATGATATAAAAATCTCTCCCGAAAGAACGCGATCAGGCGCGATCGGGTCTTGGTGGGCATATCCCCCAGTTTCTTCTTCCTCTTCGATCGATCGATCGGTTGATCAAGAACCTGTTGGAAGCAGTCCCGGGAGGATTTTTTACTACATATTTATTTATGTACTTCTTCAGCTGCAAACACTTTCGCGATCCTCTCATCATCATGGAAGAGCGCAGCAAAAGAAACACCCATTGCACGCGAATCCTGGTCGACGCGAATGCTCGCGAAGATTTCCTCATTCATTATCTGGGATGTTTTTTTTTTTTTTTTTTTTTTTTGGAAAAAAAAAAAAATGAAAAAAAATGAGAATACATAGTTGAAATATCAATGACGTGTTGAGAGCCCATGGCTGTTCCAATAGCTGCGCTTGATACACCTTACTGGGCCACCAAACACGTTATATCCCGATTTGTCCCGATTGGGGGAGAGACGGGAGGTTCGAGAGAGATACCAAAGTCGGCTGCCGCAGCCGAGGAAGGATGGGTGTTCATAACTTGGGTTTCTCATGAAGGCTTGGCCGGATGTTGGAAATCGACTTCTTAATCCTTGGACAGCACCTGTTTGAGAAAAAAAAGGGGGCCAAAATGAGGAGATTGGTGGGATGGACCTTCCACCACGTCTCAGATGCGCTGTCGGCCGCCATTGAACTCACTCTCAACCATGAAAGCCTACTTGTGTTGCAAGAGTGGTGACTCGATAAAGCTTTGATCGATGTTTCAGACCACAAGAAAAGATCCGTCTGCCGTTCTCTAATTTGATCTCTAGCTTATCTTTCCACTCTGTCAACTTCTTTCGATCAGTAGTTGACGCGAGCTAATCTTGGGACCAATGGATTGATTTCCCAGCCAAAAAACAACAGCAAAACAAACACGAGAAAAGGGTCAATCATGCATTAGTACTGCAATGGAAACCTGTATCTCTATAAGCTCCGGGTACCTAAGATGATCTCATTGTTCTCAGTTTTTTTTTGTTGCCAAGCGAACACTTATATGTGGGTACATGGAACGCGGTTAAAAAAATGTTCAGTTGTTTTGCAGCCTGTTAACTTGAAAGTAGAATGGACCTCTCTTGGCTCGCAAAGGTTGCACACCTGCCGAGATGGATGAATAGTGATACTAGGTGTCCGGTCTCGAGACAAAGCTTGTTCACTACGCACCAGGCCTAATCCTATGATGCACAGGGAATAACGTTTAGCCTAGGCTGGCTTCGTTGGGAACTTTTCTCCTCATTCCCAACATCTTCCTCAGCTAGCCTAGATTACTATGTATTGGGTATCCGAATTTTATTCAAAAATTGAGAAAGATGTTCAGCAGTTCAGTCAGTTTGGTTGCCCCTCATCCTATGATGTATACTGTATCAAAAATGAGTCTCGACACATCATACATGGTTGTTCAGTGTTCTACTTGTAAGTCGAAGGGCTCAATTCTCAACCGCCGCCAGCGGTAATGGGGTGGTAGCAAAGACAAACAATAGATTCAACAAGAGGTTAGACAAAGGAATAGAAGAAATTTTGTGACTGAATGGGAAAATCCGAGGGAATTCAATCAAATGATCACTGAGTATTATGAG